ATTTAAAATTTCAATTTTTATGGAGACACTTAAATATTTGCTTCAATACTTTTTTTTAATTCTATTGATTGAATTGATAACATAATGAAACTGAGTTCTGCAGTTTCGGCAAAAAAAGGCAGAAAAGGGAAATTCCATTGATTGCATGAGGCCCAAACAGTGGAAAGATCTTGAAACACAAGTCCCAGCAACAAGAATAGTCATAAATCAAATGTATATGCAGAAGAAGAAGAGGCTGTCAATGATGTTCAAATGCAGGACTGCAAAAGAGTGAAAAGCATCAGGTTAGAATTTGGCAGTGAAATGTTACCTTTATTATTGACTTGAACTTCAGTTTAAACAGCCACCAGTTCAATTTAATGCCCCATTCTGATGATGTTAAAGCAAACTCACTACTAAATAAAAAAGGGAGTTAAAGAGACATGTCGCCTGTTATAGAAAAAACAGTGAAACAATTTAATTAAGTGATAATGTTTCTGGCACTGGCATATACAAAGCAATAAACTGCTTCTGTGGTTGATTAAATGCTGAAGGGAAGCAGAGCGTGAAGTCTTTCTCACAGGAAGGAGCTGCCTCTGGATCTTCCTATCTGTGGATCTGTGGATGTCTCTACTTTAGTAAGAAAGCAGATCTCACTAAAAAATCTCCTGTGACTATCCTTCAGTTCTGTGACTGTCTTTCAGTTATGGCTATTGTGAACGCAGCTAGGAGAGGATCCAAGAGATCAGCACTGATTTTGCTTCTACTCATTTTTCAGGTCACTGAATGTATGTATGTTCCTGTAAGTACTTCTCAAAGTGACTTCTCACCCACTGGTTATTTACACTCTGCTTTCACATGTAACACAATAAAACTACCACAATGTAAACTGGAGGATACAGGCAGTCCAAAGGAATGTACATTTTCAGTGACACATACGATTTTGAGCTCTGTTCCTACTTCTGCCCTATAAATTTTGAACAGTCTGGACAAATAAATCCGAAATTTGGCATCTTGGTTTCCTCTAGCTTCAAAATGCAGATATAAATGCAGAATACCTTCCACTCACTTTCTAAATGAGAAAAGGGGTGGATTTTTCATGTAGCAATGGAAAGCACTCTTATATCTGACTCCTTCTTCATGCTGTCTTACTGAAAATTTTCCTGCGTTATAATCAAAACAACCAGTGCTTACCAAGAATTTTGACACCTAGTAATATTAATAGCAATATAAGGATATTTTGAATCATTTCCTTCTTGTTTTTGCTCTGTGAAAATCCCAAGTTATTCTCCTTAGGGTATCTTGTACAAGACAAAAATATCATTACAATTTGATTCAGCACACAAGAATTTGGAATAACATTGCCATTTGACAGCATCAAACTTTTCCCCATTTTTTTATATCTTTTTCCAGAAGTTCTCCTGCTGTTTTGGGGTATACCGTTATAGTAAATAAAAATTTTATTTTGGAAAGAAGAAATGATTTCTATTATAATTTAGGAAACCATTTATTAATGAACATTTTAATTTCAAAAATAGAATAAAAAATCCTGATTGAAATCCTGAAGATCATGGTTGCATTTCCATATAATTTTGTTACTTTCTGTTAAAGCACTTCGCAGACAACCTAACTTCCAAGGAATGTCCTTGGTTTGGCCATTACATAATTCAGTACATTAGATACTTCTGGGACGCTCAGAAGTTACATTTTTACATTTAAAAGTCTAATTGATAAGTTTCTAGGTGAGCATTTAAAATGCAAATTTAGTTCATCTACCACCTCCATTCCTCTTTTACTCCCATGATCATCAAATCAACCACCATTCTGTCAGTCTAGGCTTCCTTCAGATTTGTAACTTGAACTGAAATCCTAATAGCTCTTCCAACAATTAAATATGACAAAAGCTGGTATTTCTATACCACAGAATAGCACATTCAACAAAATGGCTTCCCTGGGGCCCAATCTCCATCTTTAGACAAAAACAGCTCTGGTTCTCTGGAGACATTGTATTTATTGAATGTAAATGTCATAATATCTTGACAGGTGCTCAGGCTAGTCTGAATGTTGTGATTTGAAGCTGTACTGTCCACGCCCTGCCCCACAATTAATGTTATTGTCTTTGGAGGGTCTCTGGTTCTATCTGCCCAGATAACAAGGGGCAAAGTGACCTGTCAGTTAAGCTTAGAAAAGTGCTAAATCCCGAAAGAGCACTTAAATCCAGCACTTAAAAGGACCTCCTGTACAGAATTACCTTTCCTACCTTTCAACACTTTCCCTAGATAAGATGATGGAGGAAGGGCAAGAGAAAATCAAAAAACAAACTTAATAACACCTTCCCTTCCAAAGACCATGATTTATAACAAGACTGTGAGAACATTCTGAACCTATATCATGTTGAATTACAGTACACCTTTTCAAGTGGCTGCTAAAGTAGGAGTTCATGACGGTCCTGCTTGTGTTGCTCTCATACCATTCCTTGTGCTGCCACTAAAATTTAAAATGCGGTACATACAAATTAGATCTATAAATTTATATAGTAACTATCCCAACAAATGCAAACTCATTCTTAGTAACCATTAAATTACCTTCTGTTATCTATCACCCAGTGAATTATTGTTTCATCACTTAGAACAGCCAGCAAAACTGAATAACACTGCCTGTCTATCCCCTATTTCACTGTTACTTTCAATACAAAAATACTGCAGCTTACGGAGAAAAAGATGAACACAAAAAATTAAAGCTGAATGCATGGTGTGGTAAATAAGGGTCATGTTATCAGCTTTGCACCGAATGTGATTTTTAAAAGTCAGTATCCACCTCTTTAGCTTTTAATTCGAACCACAAATAAATCAATATATTTTTGGTTCCTAGGTATGTCAAGCAGTTTCTTACATTTATGGAGCATTCCACTGTCAAATCCCTTTCATAAAACACAGAAACAGAATAAAAGGCACAAACCGTATAGCTTTTAATAGGGTACAAATTGACTTAACTGTTTCTTTGACTGTGTGCTGGGGAGGACACTTTTTTGTGTGAAAAAAACTCCACATAGCTAATAAAACCGCCTTAGTTCTTTCTGCCTGTTTAGACCAGAAGGGAGGCTCCTTTACCTCTGTCACCTGAAGCGGTAGCCAGGCTCTGGCATGAGGGCAGAATTTTACTGTCACAAGTGAATGGCAAACCTATATTCTGAGGACTCATGGAAACCCCGTTTTCCCTTATCCGAACTGATGTTTTAGCCATGAGCAGCCTCACACATTTGTCAGTGAAGAGACAGAAACATGGCTACATGATTTATCTGACCAATCACAACTAACCACTAGAGATATGAGCACTGAAAACTCAGAGGAAGCTGTTTATGATTAATCTACACAGTTTAAAAAATTACAAAAGGAAGCCATTCAGTAATTTGGTGCATGTTTTAAATAACCATTGCCTGGTCATGTATATTACAGGAACAGAAAAGGCTGAATTCATCAGCTGAATTACTTCTCATTAATTATTTGCTTAGTCTAGTTAGCACCACAAGTGCTCTGTGTGAAGCTAGGATCTGAACTGGTGCAACAAGGAACTGCTTTTGAAGAGCCTTTCAGTGGAACTGCTTTTTTTAAACCTGCCTTGAAATAGCTTTGTTTTAAGAAAGAAATTAAGTACTGGCATTTGGCTCTCACACAATAGACTCGCAACATATATTTTATCTAGATTCTGTTCCCCAAAGCATGTGTTGTGATCTTGCTTTTCTCAAAAATGTGATAATAAATACTTCAAGCTGTATTTTACAATTTATCTAGAGCTTATTCATTCAAAGTGTGATAAGAACTTTTTTTGCTTTTCCAAATGTATAAATAAAGCTTGACAGCAGTCAGAAATCTAGGTCTTTTAACTTTAACATTTGAAAATTGTGAATTGTCGGCCACAGAACTTTGATGATAATGGTCTCATAAAGGAATAAACAGGAAGGTCAAACTGCCAGTGCCTTGTATACAAAGAAGAGCTAGAACATGCTGTCTGAATAAAACTAAAAGTAATGCTAACTGATCAGCTACAAAGCACCAGGAATAACTTAGCATTTTAACCAAGCAATTGAAAGAGCAAATGAATACTTTTGCTTCACAATCGATGGCTTAGACATTTGGGCAATGAACTTCCACAAACCATACTTCTCTTTGTTTTAATATTCATGTTTATCATCCAAATAGCCTTCTTTTTGATAAATTAGCAAAGCTCATTAATAAAGCTTGAGACAAGCTCAAAGGATGGAAAATATTATCTCTGACATTAAGATAAAATGCACATTACCAACCCTGTTCTGATTGTTTGCTCTAATGTGGTAGTCTTGGATGTGCTGCACGGCATCTGACTTGTCCTTTCAAGATTCTGCATATCTCTGCCTTATTATGGTCATTTCCTCCTGTCCTTCTTCTGACTTTGTTAACCCAGCCCTCCTTTCCCACTTTCTTTTTGTATCCTTCTATTATCCTTGCCTTAGTGACCTCATCCACACCCCCCGTTAGAGCAGAGTCGAACCTTTCTTCTTTATGCTTGCTCTCATTCAGATCTCTTCAGGCACAGGTTTTTAGAAAGATTAAAAAAAAAAACAAACAAAAGGAAAGAGAAAACGAATTTAAAAATCTACTTTGTGTTCTCACAGAGCTGTTGTCAGCTGCTATGTCTCTGTATCCGTTTGTTTTACATGGTTTGTTTCTTAGGTCAAACGCCTTGCAGATAAGGAGTGACTCCATGGGAGACAGTCAAGATACTTAAGTATGAAAGTTGCGTGGAACATGACCCGAGCCTTTGGAAAAAATGCATGTGCAGTACTTCTAGCAGTGATGGAGAAGCAACAACGGACTAATTCTGTACTTGTACGATGCAGTATTTTGTACAGTCTTTTGTTAAAAACTACATTCTAAAATAGCTTCAGCATTAAAGTGATGAGGTTACATAATGAAATAAATTGTGAAAAATATAAGGGAAGTAAATAGTAAAAATAAAAAGTTTGTTTGTTATTTCCATTCCAGTAGTGCCTGAAGACTCAGAACTAGACTGAGGGCTCCACTGAATCTAAAGAACAGTGGCTGGAGAAAAGAAAAGGTGAGGAAATTTCACTTGACATTTCATCTAGATGGCAAAGCACCCAGAGGAAAAGCTTCTCCATTAGCAGAGCCCACTTTGTATAACAACTGAGTCTAGTTTCTTTGTCTTTCTTTCTTTTTTTTTTTTAAATCAGATCAGTATAATATTGCTCCACTGACTATTCTACCTCTCCCCAGCAAGTCTGGTCTTTTACCTCACCAAACCAAAAAAATAGGAGGAAAGATTTTTTTTTGTCCAGTATCCTGAAATCGCTCTGCATCAGTCCTAACAAACAATATACTTCCTCAGATGGAGGTGAACAGTTATTTTTTAACAGGGTACTTCAGAAACTGGCAAGAGTAAATATTCTTTTTAACAGATTTATCTTCATTTGCAGATTATTCTCCACTCTGCAGATGGAAGGTTGCTTTCAGAGCTAATCAATTTGCCTAGGGTCTTTAACAAGATCACATTTGTAAAAATAGCAGAACTGTAGACGTTTAAATCCTGTTTCTCCCCAGGAAATCCTGGTGATTATCGGTATAAAAGCAAAGAAAGCACTACAATGTCTAAAATAGCTCAGGTGCATTCCAGAATTAACTAATTCCACCTAGATGACTGCTATTTGAAAGAAGTTAACTCACACCAAAACAGATAACCAGATAACCCAATTCATGATAACCTGGATCCCAGAAATGTATGAAAAAACCCGTAGTTTGTTCCACTTACAACTATTTACAGTTGGTGCAAATTTCACAGATTAACAAGCTATTTGAGAAAATGAAATACTAATTCAAGCGGTTCAGGGGCTGTCATTGTAATTGTAAGAATCCAATCCGAAAGGTCAAGTTTCTATCATGTTTCCAGTATTTTCTCAAAAATTGTTTTCCTATAACTCTTAATGTTAGTTTTCATTTTTGGCTATTACATTTTTGCCCTTTCAAAGTGTGAATACATCTTGTGCTTAATAACATTAACTGAACATTGGAAGGAATTAACACTTCAAATAGGAGCCATGACAGTGGGTGTTGTGTTGTGTGTAGGTAGGACTGTTAGTGCTCCTGTGTCATAAGTTAACACATTTCCTTTCATGGTGAAATCTTTTAAGCTAACATAAATTTTATTCCTGAAGTGTACACAGCTTTTTTCAGGGAATTTAAGAATGATACCTGCCCTATTCTCTTCCAAGTATTCAAATTTAACAGAGAAGCAATTGTTTGCTCTAGATGTAAAAAGAGCCCTCAAGACATGCGCTAAATATGGGAAAAGGGAAAAGATGTTCGTCTTTCAAAGGGTCTGCTTGTTTAGCTGTATTTCAATAATTTATTTCAAGATCTGTGAACTTCCTTGAAAAATAAGTTCTGCAGACTAGGGTATATACATAGGTATTTCCTATTACCAATTCTATATGTTCCCCAATCTACCTTCTACTCTTCACCTACTATTTTGCATGCATTTATTGGGTCTCCATTTTAAGTTAATCAATCCAAATTTTTTAAATGTTCCTTAAGATATTTTTCCATTCCTTTGATCACTCTTCTCTGAACCTTCTGTTCTATAAAATTATCTCTGAGATAGGGTGAATAGTACTGCATAGGATTATGGCTGTTTCTGTATTAGTAAAACAAAAACTTGCATGACACATCTCACATCTATATTAGCAAAACTATCTTGCTTTGCAGCAGAGTGGCCACCTCCAAACAACCTGCTGAAATACTCCTTGCTGAAATAATCTCCAAGTAATGCACAGGCACAGTAGTGCTATTTGCCACAGTTTGAAACCGTACTATGGCCTACTATGCTAACTAGTTAACGTGCAAGAACGTATGCCTATTCCTTGGCCCACATCTTGGCTTTTTAAGTTTATTGTTATAACACTGAGAGGTTCAAGTAAGAAAAAAACACTAGATAATTTTTATACACACACACACACACACACATTTTCCATATTATTCTGAGTATCATTCTTTTTTTCCTCTTCTTAAGGCACAATATTGCATTACAGCAGACTTCAAAAAAATTCACAGAACCATGTTATTACAAAATAAGATAGAATTATTTTGTATAACATTGTCTACAATATTCAAAATTAGTATAGACGTTACGCTATCTAGTATTCTAAGATTACGTAAAGACCTGGCATATACCCAAAGTTTATAAGTATTGCAAAAACCTTATCTCAGAATATTATCAGGTTTAAACTGAAAGGTAGATTTGTAAACTTTAAAGTATTTGTTTGAGAAGAATTTACGGCACTGTGTAAGTACACATTCTGCTCTCTCTTGACTCATCTTTCTCACCCTACCTTTATCTGCCTCTTTTTTCTCATTCGTCAGTTATATTTTGTCTGCTTGGAGCTTTCTGAGGGAATGACTGATTTGTTACCTATTTTTTAACAGCGGCTGTACAAATGAGGCACAACCTACATTGATCTTTGAGAATACAAAGAGGAGGACTTCAAACAAGAACCACGTTTTCAGATGAATAACGCTCAACAATGTCACTGAATATGGATGGTAAAATGCACCACCCTTTGCCTACCTCCCTTGTTTCCAAGTTGGAAAGAAAAACAAAATTAAAGCTCTGCTTTATGGTGCATGCAAATCTCCAGCTAAACGTGGATTGCTAAATTGGATGTCATGTCTGTGTCAACAGTGCAACATGTCACAGATACAGGTAATCTCCTTAAAGAACAGACGTGGTGTTGAATGTGCCTGGTGGATGCTCTTTTTTACTATAACAGTATTGAGGAGTCCATACAAACAGCTGACAACCTGAACAAATTTCAGGCGTGGACCGTAATAATGAAAAATCTTAAAGCATTCATATACTTTACAGTAGAGTGTCAAAGGTCTTTTGTAAGTCAGTGTATCTCAGTAAAACAGAAAAGTTTTAATCAGGAACTGCATCAAATAATCTGTCAATTACATTATTTGACTTTTGTGGCTCAGCTTGTCCTTAAGCTTGTTTTTCTAGAACTATGTCAATATCCTCAAAGTACACTACAGTGCACACTAGTAGCTGCTATTTTGGCACAATTTGTGATACACTGATGCATATCAATCTAATCATGTAAGGCTCATCTTACAAAGGGAAGCAGCTGAAAGATCATAGCGCCATATTTCACAATGGAATGGCTGTCATCACAATATATCATGCAGGTATGCAAAGGTCATATTGTAAATCTGTTTCATTAGGGCCAAATTCTTATTGCCCCAGAACATAGAGGAAGTAGAAGGCAGTTCATGAGACAATCACTAAAGTTAGAGAAGACAAAGAAGCCACTCCCCATATATAGCACTCCGTAGCCATCGCTGCCTCTTGCTATATATTCATACTGAGAAAAAAAATAATTCTTACAGATTCTTTCATCTCCCCAGAACTTCTTATATTTCATAACAGTAGGGGTCCTGTGCATCATAAATATTTGTCACTGAAGAAGAAGAAAATTCCTTGCATGGAAATTCTGCTCTGTTTTCAGCTTGGGTGAGGAGAAATCTCTTCTGCTGCTACAGATGACATAAAAACCTACAAGTAGGACAATAAGAAGTTGGCCTTTCAACCTATATGTGCATTTTTGTGTGTTCTGTTTTCACTGGATTAACCATGGCTTATTTGCTTTTTTCAGCTCTATGTGAGTTCTGGCCAGTGCTGTGCAAGTGGTAGGTTAAATATGTGTTTCTATTTGAGAAGTTCCTAGAAATAAGAGAAAATTATCTAAGCATTATTTTTTATTGGTTTTTTCCTCTCTATTAATGAATGTAGAACTGCAAAGTAAAGCATAAATTTCAGTAGTTACTTTTCCTACATTTTCCAGAGCAGATATCTACTACTCAAGCCTGAAAGCATCTTGACAGTGGTCTTAATGGTCTTCTCCATCTTTCAGAACTCTTCTGCTTGCTTGAGTGAAATACCCAGTTTCCATAGCTGTTTATAAACATTTGACAGCTAACCTCTTTCTGTACTGAAGTGAGCTATATGGAATTATTGAAAGTATAAGAGATAATTGTACAGTTAAGAATCTAGATCAGCCATTATCAGAGATGATCATGTTGCTATTTCTGACATTGTTTTCTAGTTAGTCCATGTGACCACTACTACATGGGTAGACTACGATTCACAGAAAGTTTTTTATTAAGGCATTTGAATTCACTGATTTATTCACATATCCATAATCTTTTTTTTCCCATTGGTCAAGCTAAAAAAGGTTGAGAGCCCTTTGACTTATGTATTTCTCTAATGGCTGTTAAAATCAATTCTAGCATTAAAGTCCCTAAGAAGGAACAATGCATTGAGTGCAAAATTGATTAAATGGTCAAAGAACAGTCCTTTGTGGCCTCGTTTGCTTTTTCAATTAGTACAGATGTCACAGCTGGTCTTGGTGGTCCTCAAACATGCACAAAAATGTCCTTGAAGCTTTGTCTTTTTCTGAAGATTTTTATTTTAAGAGAGATGATTTTGTATTGAAGTTAACACTTCTGTATTTTTTCTTACTCCAATTTTGCAAGAAAGCAACAATATAGTCACATAAGAAGTGAATGGTAACAGGAAAAATGGAAAAAAAGGGCTACAAGGGGAACAAATGCCTTTAAGGCAGTTGATTTTTTGTATTCTGATGCACTCCACTTGAATTTGTTTTCCTTCTTTGGGATTGACAGGAATCATTTCATGCATATGTTTGGCAGAGAACAGTTGACAAGCAGGTGACTCATAACCGCAGCTATCCCAAACTGCTTCAGACCAGACTTTCTGGGTCTACAGGTGAAGAAGTGATGGGAACATACTTGAATACATTTAGGAGAGATCCAGGAAGTCATGTGATTAAGGCACTTAACTCGAATTTAGAAGATCTGAATGTAATTCCAGTCCCAGTTCTGCTACAGACTTACTATGTGATGTTGAGAAAGTCATCCTGGGAGAGATTTTTCAAAAGCTTTTAGCATTGGCCTAACTCTGCTCCCATTGACTTCTACATAAAAAGAGTTCCCAGCATATGCTATGACATGGCATACCATGGCTATATTGGTAGCCTAGCACTGTGTTGTCTCTTAGAAACTAAAGGTAAGATTGAATGAATAATAAATCCCTAATTTCATTGCTTTAAATAAAAATGCTAAGTTTAAATTAATTACAGGGTGCAAATATGTAGGAGAAATGGATAGGAGACCATAACCTTAACTGCACTGATCCTCTCCTATACCTGTTCTCATTGTCATGTAACATTCATAAATGCAAACATCGAGATTGTTTCTTTATTTTAGCTATGCAAACAATTTAGTTATAATAGGCAGTAGGTTTCTTTTTTAATGCTTTAATGTTTTATTAATTTAATTTTCCATAGTCAAATTCTTTCTTTTCGTTTTGCCTTATAGCCTAAATTTCCCTTGGTATTTCTAATTATAATATTTGTTTATGATTATACTGCAACATACTGTAATTCTCAGCCAGCTGACAATGAACCGGGGTTTCTACCTAATGTCTTATCATAAAATAAAAACAAAGACTTATATGAATAACCCTCAATTTATTTTTTTGCAAATTCAGGAACTAATCGCTTGATTAAACTTAATGCATTTAAAATTATACATTTCATCAGCTGTCTAAAAGACATGAGATTAAGTCAGGTCCATCATTAAGTGGTTATACCTATCAGCTAAGTTTCTCCAAGTTGCATCAAATTGTGCATGAACTCAATTTCTCCCATGATATTTGGGATAATAGAAAACTCTATAATAGACTAAATGAATGGCCTTTCATAGCTAGTGTTCTGCTTAGAGCTGAAGCCACTGCCAGATACTTCCGGATATCCTCCTAATACAATCAGATAATTCTGCAGTTTTTAACAAGGATAAAATACTTTGAAACTTCGATAGTAATGATTTAATGATGATGAGGCTTATTTGCCATTATTTTGTATCACATAAAATACAAATTGCATCAGTCCAAATGTTTACACTGGCCTTTAAAAATAGAAGCTGTTGATTAACACTCTGCTTCAACAGCAGCAAGTTCTACAAGGTCTACGACATTTCCTCTCCTTCCTTCAGCCATCTGGTGTCAGGGTAATTTTTTATGAAAGGATGGCAGTCAGAGGTGAAGTTCTGTGGCTCTTTCAGGCTCTCTGTGCCTGAGAGTAAAGCAAGCTCAATTCTGAAGGGGCTGGAACTGTGTTTGGCCAGAGGTTTTCATCTGTGTGATTACTGTTACTTCTTCATGTGCCAGGGAAGGGCTATGGAAAGTAACTTTTCCTTTTTAGTGACACACACTTTTCATTCCACTGTGGATAAAATGTAGCTGGAATAGCTATAATGCATCTCACATTTAATAGTGATGAATATTGACCTTTCTTTTTCAGAGCTAGTGCCCTTTGGGAGACAAAACCATCTTGGGACATGAGATAGATAAGACATGATTAGTTTGCAAATATATGGTTCTTTACATTAGAGGAAGAAGCATTAGAATTAGAAGAAAATGCTGTTACCGGAAGGTAATTCTTTTCATCCATCTCATTCTTGGTATTGAGAACTCTCTTCTGTTATTCTTACTTTTTATAGGAAGCTAGGGTTAGTAATGAACATAGTAATTTGTTCCTGGGCTGAAAGTTGCACTGCCTTTTTTGAAGGTCTCCCTGTAGCAGCAGCCACCTTTTCCACTCAACTCTCAGATAGTGAAACATTTCTCTGGGGTCATGACAGCTTGGAGGCAAAGACATAGGGTATTTGATCCTTACTGATGTGGTGAGGGTAAGGTTATGAAAGTGAGAACTTGACCTAGCATGTTTAGTTCTGGCACAAATGCCTTTGTTTTACTTGCATCTTAGGAGTAAGGACTGGCTAGGAGCCATTCAAAGCTGTTCGTAATTTCAGAAAGAAATAATTCTACAGTTTTCATCTGTAGAATTAACATGTGATGGCTGAACACCATGACGATCATTCGAGCTTTCTGCAACCGTCCAGACAAACTTCAGAGTTCACTGGAGACAGTCTACAGAAGGCATGCCGTGCAAGCATTTCACTGTGGAGGTCAAGCAGACACTTTTCTCTACCCCCATTTCTACCTTAGATTTGTCAGAACACATCCATTAATTATGCGACTCTTGAGATACAGTAGAACAACTGGCGTACAGACGAATTTGTACCACTCTCCCTGCAAGTTGCTAAAGTTCTTTATTGGCATTCCCTGGGATTCTTCTGTGACTTTCACATCACTGTAGGCTGGTCTTTAGAATTATCTGCAAGGATCATAGCTGTCATGAGTACTAGGAGGTTATCCAAGTGGTTACCTGTTTAATAGTATAATGTCATCAGCAAACTCTGCCACCTTGCAATCCACGTACTCCTCCAAATTATTAAAAAAATGTATTAAACAACTCGATCACAGTACTGACCCCTGAGACACTCTATTATTAATATATCTCTTCTTTGAGGTTATAACTATTTATTTCCTATCATTTAATCACTTTTTAATCCATGACAAGCCTTTGCCCCTTACTTCACTGTTATTTATTATCTTTAATATTCTTTTATGAGGGACCTTTTCTAAAGCTTTTTGAAATCCAAGTAAATTATGTCCACTGGGTCATGTTCATCTACTGTCTTATTAATATTTTCAGAACCTTCTAACACATTAGAGAGGCACAATTTTCTGTTACAGAAACCTTGTTGGTTTTTCCCTTGCCATACATACTACACCTCTCCAAAATGTTGCACTATTTTTTGTTCTATTTGATTTCAGTCATTGTAAAAAACTGTTATTCACAAGATAACCCCTAAATCCTTTTTACAAAATAAGATTTATATTAATGACTTCCTAATTCCCAGGAAGTGATGCAATTGGTAAGGATATACTGAGATTCCTTATTAAGCTATTCAAATAGTCGAATAATTTGTAGAATGGCTTCAGATGTTTTTGTGAAAAATTTTCACTTGCAGTCAAAGCCACACTGTATTTTCTCATAAAAATAGCTTGGAAGAGGAGCTTTCTCATCTTATTTCTCACATGGTGCTGAAATACATATAACTTCTAAGGTCATTTAGCCAATTCCTGCAGTTATCCTCAGTTCTTTGGTAATACCAAGGAATTTAGTCTTCACATATATTTCCTGTTTCTAATAGCTGAAAATAGATGACAAGATGATTCCAAAAATTTTACTTTATAAAAATGAAGTGGGAGGACTCAGGAAACTTTCCCCACCTAGCACATTCTTAGTACTTGCTATCTATCTTCCAAAGTTGCCATCTTGTGATCAGGGTCTATCTCCTACAAGAGAGAGCAAAACCATTCTAGATCAGTTAACCTAGCCTTTCTTCACGTAGGGCCCTGGATGAGAAAACACTGATCAAAGGGGTAAAGAAATAGGAGAGCTTACGGCGCTCTGTTCACCTCAGGGAAGACCTTTTGATGCCAGGTCCAGAGAGGAGATCAGTGATTAGCAGAACTAAGCAGCAATACTCAAATAGCATATTTCCAGGTAGGTCAAATGGGAAAGTAATGGATAGGGATGTAATGATTCCAAAACAATGTTCTACCTGTTCAGAGGGGGGCATAGAAGATCCAGAGTTCTTCCTCCCTCTTTCTTCCTGAATGTAGGGATCAGGAAGTGAGTCTGGGACAGAACGGCATGGAATTAAGGACAGTGCATGGCCAGCAAAAGTGTCAAATA